CGAATCAATCCATCTCATAGAGGGTTTTCCCCTCCTGTGCCATCCCTCCACCCTCCCAAGCATGATGTCCCTCTCCAAGGACCCGTCCCTCCTGGCAACATGTCCAAAGTATGTCAGACGAAGCCCCAGAATCCTTGCCTCCAAGGAGTAGCTTGGTTTAATCCTCTCCAAGATGAATTTGTTTGTTTTCCTTAAATATTTTAGAGAGATCCCTGATAGCAGATTTGTCCAATGCAATATATCTCTTGGCCCTGATCTTCTGAGTGCTGGTACCAAAGGTGTTGATACAAGCAAGATGAAATTATCAACAGCGTCAATCCTTTCTCCAACTATCATGATGTTATCTATTGGCCCAGTGATGAGCATTTTTGTCTTGATGGGGAGACATAATCTCCATTGAAGGCTATAGTGCTTGATCTTCTGTAGCAAGCATCTCGAGTCTTCCTCACTCAAGCAAGGCTGTGTCTTCTGCATAAAGCAGGTTGATGAGTCTTCCTCTGATCCTGATGCTGCATTTCTCTTCATGAAAGGATGCATCTCTGGTGCACACCCTGCCTAATTTTGAACCATGCAGTGTTCCCTTGCTCTGTTTGGATAACAGCTTCTTGGTCTAGGTATAGATTTCCTATGAGCACAATTAGGTTTCTGCATTCCCACTCTTCTCTATGTTAGCCGTAGTTTGTTATGACCCACACAGTCAAATGCCTTTAAAACACAGTCAACAAAAGACAGATAGACATTCTTCTGGTATTCTCTGCTTTTATCTAGGACCCATATGCTATCAGCAATCATATCCTGGTACCACAGTCTCTTCTAAACTCAGCTTGACCTTCTAGATTTCCCTGTTAATTTACTGTTCTAGTAATTTTTAGATGATTTTCTGCAATAGTATACTTGTCTGTAATATTAATGATAATTTCCACATTCTGTTAGATGACCTTTATTTGAGGCGGGAACAGATAGGGATCTTTTCCAGTCAGTCAGCCAAGCAGCTGTTCTCTAAATATGCTGGCACAGACCGGTTAGCTCATCCAGGGTTGCACCTATTAGGTGAACCATTTCAATTGAAATCCTGCCAATTCCTGGAGCCATATTTTTTTGAAATGCTTCCTTTCATTGACTCTTGTTCATATGGTACATCCTGGAATTTTTCAGTATAGATACATTTTGGTATAGCGACTATGTATTCCTTCTATCATTTCTTTTTTTTTAATTTTTAATTGAGATTTTAATGAAAGTTTACAGAAAATTTGGATTTCCATCCATTCCTTATTGTACATTTTCCTCCCTACCTGCCCTGCCCCACCCCCTCCAGTTACCTTTTCTCTTAAATAACCATGCAGACTGTATGTGTAAGGTTATAAAAAAGGGGGTACAAATTATATAAACATAGGATATTAATACATAAATTCTTAATTTTAAATTCACTTTCTTCACTCTTTCCCCTCCAAATAACAAGAGATAATATAGATATCCTTTCATGTAAATAATAGAAATATATAACACCTTTGATGATGGTCTTATATAGTTCAATGGAAGGATATAATACACTCTTTTTAAAAACCCTAATATACTTTGCTACATTCGTGAGAGGAATATTTTTAATTTGTTAATTCCTCATATAGGGACAGATCTTGCCTCTAGTTCACCTATAGCTGCACATAGATGTCTAATTCCACCCCCCTCCCCATTAAAACCCATTGTTGACAAGTCAATTCCAATTCATGGCAACCTTCCATTAGGTGTCTGAGATTCTGAATCTTAACAGAATGCCCCATCTTCCTCCTGTGGAAAGGCTGCTATTGTTGATTGCCTTCGAGTCGAGCATGACTCATAGGGACCCTATGAACAAAAGGCCTGAAGCCCCTCTACAACTATCGACACTGATCAAAGGTCAGAGAGTTTCTGGAGGCATGTTGTTATTGGATGCCACTCCTGCTTCACAGTGGGTTTCAACTGCTAACATTTTGGTTAGCAGTTTCAAATGTACCCACAATGCTACCAGAGCTTTTTATGAGGATGCCTCTGGGTAAGGCAGGGTTCAGATCTGCTGTTCACAGGGTTGCTAAGAGTAGCAGTCAACTTGACGGCACCTAATTACAAGAAGTAACATAATATAAAGACATTTGCCTCTAAAAGAGAATGTATACAGTAAGAAAATTTTTGAAATGAAATTGTTTTCATAATTGTTGCTATGTGATACTGAGTATGATTCTTATAAAAATTAATTAAAATTGGAAAGAATTTCAACCCATCTCTTCTAAATACTCGTGGTGCACTCTATAACAAGTTGCACTCCTAACCCAAAGGCTTTGATCTCCAGCAAATCCTTCAGCCTCTCTGTGGGAAAATGATGGGAAATCTCCTCCTGTTGCAATTGGAAACTCAAAGAAGGGTCACTATGAGACATAATCAATTCAACGGCAGTGAGTTTGATTTTGAGTCTAAATACATAGCTTTTTACATAGTCTGCTGTCAGGGATCTCTCCTAAGTGCTAAAGAGCAATGATATTATTAGTCTAGAGACTAAGGTGCACCTGATCCATGCCGTGGTCTTTGCAATTACTTGCTATGCATCAGAGAGCTGGACAATGACTAAGAATGACAGAAGAGGAATCGATAATTTGAGCTGTTGTGCTGGAAAAAGAGTGTTGAGCACACCAAGGAGTGCGAGGAGAATAGGCCTGTCTTGGAGAGAGTGAAACCTAGTTTCTCCTTGGAGGCTAGGATTTTGAAGCTCTGTCTCACATACTTTGGACACGTGGCCAGCAGGGACCAATTCTTGGAGAAGGATATCACGTTTGGAAGGGTGGAGAGACAGCGCAAGAAAGAAAGACTGGATGAGATGAATTGACACAGTAAGTGGGGTAATGGATGTAGGTGTACTAGATACAGTGAGCTTGGCTCAGGATAGGGCAGCCTTCAGAGCTATTATTCTACGTGGGATCATTATGAGTCCCAGGCAACTCGATGGCACATAACACCAACAACATAGCCTTTACTTTTTCCACAAATCAATTTACATAAAATGCCTCCTCCTTACTATTTTAAAGCTTCCTTTGTTAAATATGTAAAAGCAAAGCATTCATCGTAAATTTGTTCAGTGCCATCAAGTCGACAAGGACCCACAGGAACCCTATTGACAACAGATTTGAACCTTGCCCTACGCTGTGCCATTTCATCATCTCTGATGTAACTGAACCATTGCTACAATCACTGTGTCAATTCATCTCACTGAGAGGGTCTTCTTCTCTTTCACTGAACTGCCACCTTTTCAAGCATGATGTCTTTTTTTTAAGGACTTGCTCCACCAACAACATGCCCAAAGTAGAGGAGCTAAAGTTTTACCATCTTTGCCCCTGAGAAGCATCTTAATGGTAATTTCTCTAAGACATATTTGAGTTCATCATCTGAAGCTATTGAACACATCTTGACCCCATTCATCCCAAGCAGGGGGGAAAAACCCACTTACTCAAACCCCTTTCAGTTGTAGAAAGTCATAGCTAACGTATAAAAGTTAAAAAGCTCAACAAATAGCCTTAAGTCACAAAAAGCAGAAAGACTTGTAAGGATTTCTGCTACCTACACATGCTTCAGTCTATAATCTGAACAAGTTGATTTCAATCAGAGAAAACTTACTTTCTTAAAAAAAGGGAGAGAACCACCAGAAAACAGAACATAACGGTATACTTAATTACATCATGGTAACGATAAATAATGAAGGAAATTCATTCAAAAATTGCTCAGTACAACTAATAAACTGCTGCTTTTTAAAGCCATAAACACACGTGGATCTAGGGCAATCAGCAAAACAACAGGACAAGGTTTCCTTTGTAAATGAATTTCATGTGAAAATGATTCTCTTTTTAGGAATTCTCGGCAATATCTAAAGCACAGTGTGAGGTACATATAAACAAAGCTGTCAAGTAATTTCTTTAATGAAATGGACATTTTGGAAGGTGATAAAGTCAGTCTAATATGTTGTTCCAGGAGGTCTTAATTAACCACCTCTTTAGTTCTCATTTCTCATTGCCGTTGAGTCAGAACTGAATCGTAGCTGACCATTGGGTTTCTGAAGCTGTAAATCACACAACAGTATGACAATTAACAATGTGGAAAAAGACATGTGTTACAAAGTGAATCGGGGGACAAGGAGAGAGAAAAACATGTTATTAGTAAATTAATGAAAACCCAATCTTTGTGTGAACTTTCATGAAAACAACAATAAAAGAGCAAATCAAAACAAAAATCATACAGGTGATTGTCTATTCTTCTCTCTGGAGAGACTGGTAAATTTGAACCACTAGCAGCATGGCTTTTGGGTAAGGAGGTCAACTCCCTAGGGACTTGACCATCCATCTCTCTCTCTCATGCACACACACACACATGACTTTGCAATATTCTAAAAACAGAATTCCAAGGGGAGATTTTTTAAAACAACCAACCAGAGTAGCAATTCACAACTCTGTAGTATAAGTTAAAGAAGCCACACTCAAAATGTTCCTTTAGAGTCTATATAGCACTAGTTTACTTACTGTAGGAAATCTAGACTTATTTAGATTAATTCTAGCAACCGTTTGAAAGCAAATGTCTTACTTGAGCACAAGATTGAGTAAGCAACTTTCTTTTGGTGTGGCAATACTAAACCTACACATGAAGATACTCATTTCAATTCAAGAGTGTAAATCATTAGTTCTTCTGTTCTCGTATTTATGTTGCTATAGCCTACGGCTGAATGGTATAGTCCTTTTTTTCCTCTGCAACTAAACAAGGTAAATAAATGTGATATATTGGCACATCACCCCACCACTCTGCATATGGTGCACATTAAGGTTGTATTCATTTGCCATATGAATATAATTCCTTTTACCACATCTACTATTAGTTCCAAGCAGTAAATACAGAGTTGTTTTGCTGGAACTTGAGGGCCTGCATTATATCATGGAGCACTAAACATCCTGGACTTTCTGGAGAATTTCACAGGCGTATTTTAATGTCACCTGAACTTGAACACTGCTAGTATGCTGGCTTCAAAACCCGACTTGCTGAATTCTTCAAGGAGAAAATAAAAATGCAGGCAGTCTCAATGTTAGTGCAATGGTGCACACCACACAGAAGGCACAAGGAAAGCTCTGGATACAAGAAAAATGCATGCTCTTGACAGAGAATTATAACAAGAGTACTTGTTTCAGGCATTGTTTTCACAGTCAGAACCTAGAGCTTATAAGGAACTAATTTCAAAATATTACTTGGTATTTGCCCCAACAATAGATTAGTAACAATCTGAAATCAAGAAGGTGATAATTTATCTTATGAATAACTGTGATGCTTTGTTTCATTAAACAATACACACTGTGTCCACTTTTTCCTAAACAAAATACTTATTATAAGTTCCTAAACCAGGTTGGGAGCAAGAGGATGAGGAAATTGCTTTGTTTTTACAAACTGTAGTTCAACTAGAATGAACATACTTGGGCATATGACTCATAAAGACAGAAATTAAAGGCAATTAAAAACAAAGCATACCTGTCTTATCAAATAAAATTTTCCCATTACTAACAGAAAGTCCCCAAATGCATCCAGCAGATGGTGCTCTAGGACACCTACTTACAGAGTCATAATGTTTGTGTTACATCCACCTATATTTTGGCAAGACAAAGAATAAGGATTTATCAGTAGCTTCAGTAAAGCCTATTAGGCTTTATGATAAAAAGGACATAATTCCTAAATATGTGCACCAAAATATACATATGCATAAGCACAGAAGCAGCCAGCAAATAATTCACACCTGGACATGCTAAGATACTACTCCTGCAGACCTGATGACTAAGTAGTCTATGTGTATCAATGGTATTTATGGTCATATGGCAAGATCATTCTAAATTCATTAAAAAAAAATTTAGAATGCCTTAAAGTTAGAATTCATTTTTAATTATAGCAGGAATGTCTCATTAGGGTGATACTAGTAAAATTAACAACAGTAGGATTTATGGTAATGACTCAAGTGATTGATGAGAGTATAACAAAATGAAGTTTTAGACAGAGAAAAAGCAGGGCTTCTATGGCATACAGTACTTTAAAAAGCAGTTCTGTGGTCTGTTAGTGCTAGCCTTATGGTTAATAAAACCTTCCTTCTAATTAACGGTGCTGAAATATTCTTAAATAACAGAATCGTGTTGTTATGAAAAACTTAAATAGTTGGGCTTTTTTCCCCCCAAGTAGACGCCATTCCCATCAAGGAAAAAGCTGACATAGATTACCATGTCTGATTGCAAAGAAAGGAGGGGAAAAAATGCCACCTTTCAATCAAATCAAAACCAGAATGTGAGAATGGAAAACTACTTTATTGAAATACTACACATACAAAACCACGCAACACCCTCACAGTTAGCAGCTGTTTGCTTCTAAAGATCATCAACTGAGGCTTTTAAACATTACCGAGATACTTTAAAAAAAATGCCCAACAAGCTTCTAATCTTTAAAAATCTACCTTTTATGATCTATTGTTGTGATATAAAAATAGTGAATAAATAATAACTACTTCTACCTTTTAATCCTGTTTATAGGAAAAGATTATTTCAAACTTTAAAATATTTCAATGCTAATGAATGCACTGGGAAACATTTTCTCCCCAAATTGGAAATGTGCACTCCGGATGGCATTATTTGATGGAAAAATGTGTATCTTACGGAAAGCACTGTGGCAGGCAAGATTACGTTCTAGAGCACAAATGCCACGAAGGGAAAATAGAGATACAATGCCTCCATGAAGAAAACATCTTTCGGTGAAATTTTCTTGGGTAATTTCATAAAACACATCCACAAGTAAATGGAATCCTATTTAAAATTTTCTTCCCATTGAGAAAATTGCATTTTACAGAAGATAACTACCACAAGACAATAGAAGATGAAAAGCTATCTGTTCTGTGAGAAAACAAGGCTTTGCCATGCAATCTAAGCAGATTTCAGAAAACATTTGTATCCTGTTAAAAGCCTCAAGTTAAATTACGTCTAGGCTTGATCCAATTTGAATTAGTCTGATTTTTTCTAAGCAATATACATTTGAGTATTGGAAACAGAGTATCTTTTAAAAATGGTAATAAAATAATCAATTTTACACCTAGCAGTAGTACTAAATTTCAAAGCAAGAGTGCACATATAGCCCTAGAAATTACAACTGCTAGTTAATTTTCCTAATTTTTGAAATAAAGTAACTACCTAATTGAGACAAAAATTTAGAAAAAACATTAGCCTAATTTTCTTTCATACACTTATTTTTCTCATTAAGACATATCCCGAATCCAAAAATTTAAGTTGACGCATTGTATGAAATTATATACTATACCGCAGTAATATGTAGATAAATGCCTGAGCACCTCAGAAAGGTCATTTATGTTGTATCCAGGAGATACAGTATAGAACTAACCACAATCCAACATCCCTCATCTGAAAAGCTCTGACTTCAGCGGCTGCCTCGTGGAGCCATCAATGAGCAGAGGCTTATAAAATCCGAACTAGCTTGCATGAATATTTCAAACATCATTCGTGCATGGTAAAGCACCTTTGTTTTTGTTATTTTCCTCTGCAAAGCATAAACTAGCTTACCACTTTTCTATTCTAATGTGTGTAAGTTTTCAATATATGAAAAAGTGCCTATTTGTCTTTCACCCAGATTCATCTTTCATAGATAAAGCAAAATTAAATTGGGACATCAGACCGTATGAAAGGCCAGAAAGGAACACGGTTCACTTTGAGAAAGGTAATTTAATTTAGTCAAGATACATTACAATTTTCTAAAATTTTATTAGATAGGCTGCTATGCTGTTCTTTTTCTTCTTCGTCTTCATTACCAGTACTACTAAGAGTTAATGTCCAGCATCTTGCAGACAATGAGAGGATAGAGATGAAATGCTTTATAAAAAAAATATAATGTAATAATATATACAACTAATGACAACAAGAGGGTGTTTGTGTGGTGATTTATTTGCTCAAAACATCCTGAGCTTCTGATAACACCTTGAGTCAGTTACGATTGTTACTTTCATTCTTTAGACAAGAAAGGAGGACAGTTGCAAAGCTTAGAACTGAAGTTATTTCTACTCTAAACCTCTGGTCAGCTCTACTGATATATTTTTTAAGAAGATGAATGCAACCCCCGCCCCCCCCACTTAGGATGAATTATAAGATATATCTAACCATGCACACGCAGTATTTCTATTTATGGGAAAACCGAAAAATTATTATTTTAAAAGACATTTTTTGAAATGCAATTGTAATTACATCTAAGTGTAGCTAATAAGCCTTTGGCTCATTCTCAGATTGTGCAATGCTAATTCTCTCGTATAACTGTAGAACATGACTGGCCAACAAGTATAAAACAAGATTTCTAGGTTTGTTTCTTTTTGTCACATAGAGTACTAAAAGTGCATGACATGTTACATTATTTTAAACCAGGATATGCCTCCAAAAGGTGCCTAACATTTATGAAAAATTCTTCCTAAATATTTTCTGATAAGTAACAAAGTGATAGCTTTATTATCTATGTCAAGTATAGGGTTGCCTTAGATAATTACGTGAATTGGAGTCCCAGAAACAGGGAGGGGAAAAAAATAAAAAGAAACTGAAAGTAGTCACACATCTTAAAAGGTGAGAAAAGTCGGAAGGGCCGGCATGTACGAGTTCAGATAAGAAGCACATGATGTATTTTTCAAAATCATATTAAAAACAAGAACTCTTACCTTCATAGATTTTAAAATTTTATTGCAATTACATATAGAAATGTGTATAAAAATATATTTTTGATGTTTATTTGAGTGGGAAACGATCCACTTTGCTTAAAATAGGAAATATAAATCAGCGGTTTGTTGAATACAAACTTGTTTACCCACCATACCAAGCAAAATCTATCATATGCATATGAAGCACAATAGCTTTGGAAAATATTTTGCATATGCTTCTTTTAAAATTGTACTGATATTTACATTCATTTAGAAATATTTCACTTTTGTTCAAATATTATGCATTAATCTGAGCTTTAAAAAATATCAACCCCAAATATGACAGACTTAAACATATTTAGGCTATTTTGTAATTTCAGTTTGAGTGACGGACACACCATAGTATTCAGGTAAAGTAATCAGGAACAACATGATCCTTCCTTAACTAAATACAAAGCAACTTGCTTTAAATTAAGAAATTGTAAATATTTAAGAGCAGTTAAAGTGCTCTACTTTATGAAGTAAAAATGGAAAGCTGTTCTTGCAAGAACTCTTCAGCATTGTCATAATCATTTTAATTAAATTCTCATTTTTCAGGTGGTCCTTTTAATTGTTTTTTCCTACTTCTTAATGTGTTTTTCTAAAGCCATTTCTTTTCTGCAGCTGTGTGCGATTGGTTTTAATGGTAGCTGCTTCCTTTTTTGCCTTCTGTGAATTACAATTTTAAATGGTTACACATTTTTTGTTTTACTGCCTTCAGCATAGTTTCATAAAGATGTTTAAGGCTGTTGGTGAACATTTTCATTTCCCATCTGAAAAAACCAAGAGCCAATCTGAATATTCCATGTTGGTCTTTTACGATCTGTTTTATCTTTTAATATGTAGATGAAAGCATATTTTTGTAAGGACTGGTTTCCATGAAATTAAAACTTTTATTTTTCTATTTTAAAATATGAATTCCATAAACAATATGTGATTATGTGATTGCTCTTTTATACTATATCTTATTGTTCATGAATGAAACACCTCTATTTTATTTGATGACAGCCATTTCTAATGAAAAACTAGCATTTTCCGATTATAAAAAAAAAACACCCTGTAACATGATAATGAGATTTCATGCCTGGATTTTAATTATACAAAATGTTAATAACAAATTTATGTAGACCTTTCTTAAATTACACCTAAGAAATTAAAACTACTTATTAATTCTGTTTCCATGCAGAAGATAATGCCATGACAAAATGTTATTTTGCATGCCACTTGTAAAAGTTTACTTATAAAATAAATTGTACTTACTGCCTGGGTTATCTCCAATCCCACTGCTTTTTCCATTCCAGTACCACAGGAGAAGGGTTGCATCACGTGATCCTGAGAGAATGTAGCAATTTCCCCCAATGTATGACTCAGAACGGGTGAGGCAAGTGACAACATCCCAGTGGCCAAATACTACTTGGATCAATTTTCCTGTAATATAAAAGATGTTCATAAAAACCAAACTTCTAGTGACTAGACAATTTGATAATAAAATCATATTTAACTCAGATTTTGATAATTCAGATAATATAGTAATTTGGTGTTTGATGTGGTTGCACCTGAACGGGCATTTTTAAATACTAATAACAACAAAAGATCAATTGAATTGTGAGAACAGCATTTTGGAAAGGCAAATGTTAAAATTATGTTGTTGTTATGTGCCATTAAGTCACTTGTGGCTCTTAGCGACCCTATGTACTACTAGCCCTAAACTCTGCTCTGTTCTGGGCCAATTTTATTGTCTCTGACACACCTACTCCCATTACCCCAGTCACTAAATCAATCCACCTCATAGAGGGTCCTCCTCTCTTGTGCTGTCCCTCCACCCTCCCAAGCAAGATGTTCCTCTCCAAGGACTGGTCCCTCTTTGCAACATGCCCAAAGTATGTCAGACAGAGCTTCAGAATCCTTGCCTCCAAGGAGCAGCCTGGTCTCACTCTCACTAGGACAAACCTGTTTGTTTTCCTAGCCATCCATGGTATACTCAATAATTATATAAAAGAATAAAATTTGAGACCCTTAGGTGTTGCACTACTAACCAAAAGGCCAAGCATCTCTATCAGTTCCAATATACCAATTTCTCCTGGGGAGAAAGGCACGCTCTTCCATTACAACTTCAGCCTCAGAAACCTGACACTCGGTGAGAGGATTTGGAATCTATTCAACAGGGTTTCAAGTTTTATGACAACATACAGATATGAATGACTATTAAAAATTAAAATTAAATCATGCCTAGTGATTAAGAAAGGCCCCGGAGACTTCTTCTCCCCACCATTATGTTTTTTCTTCCTTCTTTTTATTACTTGGAAACATTTTAATAATTGTCTTAGTCATTCTATATGATATGAAACTCAGTAGTCTTTCTGCAGACCCTCTTTCCTCACTGCTGTAGAGCTGGGACCGACTCACAGCTGATCCTCCAGTGAGGGGTGGGGCACTTACAGAGGCTATAGAGAGGCTGCTCATCTTTCTTTTGTGGAGAACTGTGGAGTTGAACTACCTGCCTTTGGGTTGGCAACACAGTTTCAGACTTTACTAATTAACTCTGTCTCTGGATTAAAACTCCCGTAATTCACTGCCATCTAGTTAAAATCTACTAAGAGCTGACCCTCTGTGGGTTTCTGAAACTGTCAATCATACAGATTAAGACTGCCCACTATTCTCCTAGGGGGATTTCAACTATTAGACACCACGGCTACTCGAAGGTTAACGTGTTTCTTTTACCTAAGTGAACGGTACTAGGAGCCCTGCTGGCCCAAAGGTTAAGCACTAGCTGCTGACTGAAAAGCTGGTGGTTAAAACACATCCTAGTGGCCTCTTGGGGAAAATAACATGAAGATCATAGCCAAAATAACCCCATGAGGAAGATTTACTCCATCATAGAAAGTCACTATGGGTTGAAAATCTCAAGGGCACATAAAACAACATACCAGAATAATCTAAGTCATTTTGGAGAGTCTGTTTATTTGCAAATCAGAATTTCATTAACTAAGTTTTTAAAAGCTGCATACCTTTGAGTCAGAAATGACACACAGCTGACCCTGCTGCCAGTTTTCAGAGGCAGTAAATCGCACACAGGCAGATGGATGACTTCCTCCTATAGAGCAGCTGTTAGATTCTTAGCATTGGCTAGCGATTCCCTACCACTAAAACCACTAGAGCTCCTTCTGTTACCAGTGAGACCTGATTCATAGCTGACCCTCCAGCAGGTTCTCAGAGGCTGTAAATCACATGGGAGATTGTCCATCTTTCTCCTGAGGAGCAGCTGGTGGATTCCAGCAGCATAACTTTTGGATTGGCAGTGTAACTCCCTACCACAAAGCCACTAGAGTTCCCAATTTCAAAAGAATATGAATATTTATAAGAGGATTAAGTTATTGTAATTACAAGTTGAGGTAGTTCATTCTTTGCCTAAGGAATTCTGTGGAGGGTGAGTGGGTCATGGCAGTTTATTTGTGAGAAATGACTGATGTCTGAGTAGGGAGCAAAGAAACCTAGTAAACTTACTATGTCTATCTTTAGGTGTTTGGAGCCACTCCTTGCCCTGCTCCACCAGCATTTACATCTACTCCCACCTACTGCATTCAACATCAATCTCTCCTATCCAGACCTTGACGTGATGGCCTATTGTCAATCTTTCTGGGCTTCTGTGACTCCTAACCCCTCAAGCTGCTGCTAGTGTCTTTCTCTACAGGCTGTATATCTTAACTTCAGGAGTTTAGAACTGCTCCAGGATTGACTTCTTGTGCCTTAGGGCATCCTGTCCTCCATTTATGCTACAAGAGTTTCCCAGGGGAGGTTGATGAATCCTAAGGGTGGGGACAACATGGACTATTGGTTTTTTCTACTACTGGGAAATATCTTATTCTGCTCTTCTCTGTAAAATGCTGGTCTTGTCAGATAATCTTCTAAATCTAATCAATCAAATTAAGACAGAGTAGGAAGAAGGATTGGCCATCCACTTCCAAAACAGCAGGCTTTTGAAAACCCTATGTACAAGAGACCACATTTAGACTAGCAGATATGGCAACTGAGGATAAGCCCTCAAGTATGGAAACAAATAGAAGGAGGAACAGCTATGAGCAGACACTAGTGATGGGAACATGGAATGTAAGAACCATGAATGTAGGTAAATTTGATATTGTTAAGAAGGAAATGGAACACATAAATATTGACATACTAGCTATTAGTGAAATAAAATGGACTGGAATGAAAAATTTTGAATCAAAGAATCATATGATCTACTATGCTGGAGATGAAACGGTTAGGGAAAATGGGGTTGATTTCATAGTTTAGAAAGTCATTTCTCTATTCGTCTTGAATTACAATGTTGTGAGTGACAGGATAATATCCATACACATATAAGGAAGTCCAGTGAATATCACCAACAACCAGAACCAAAGAGGAGGAAATAGAAGATGTCTACCAACTGTTGCAGTTGGAGATTGCTCAAATATGCAATCAAGATGCATTAATAATAATGGATGACTGCAATGCAAAAGTTGGAAACTGAGAAGAAGGATCAGCAGTTGGAAAACATGGCCTTGGTGACAGAAATGAAGCCGGAGATAGAACGATAGAATTTTGCACAATTAACAACTTATCCATTGCAAATACATTTTCTAAGAAACATAAATGCAGGCTATACACATGGATTTCACCTGATGGTATGCATAGGAACCAGATTGATTACATCTGTGGAAAGAACCACTGGAGAAGCTCAATATCAGCTCTGAAAACTAGACCAGGTGCTGATTGTAGAACAGACCACCAACTACTCATATGCAAGTTCAAGTTGAAGCTCAGGAAAATGAAATCAAATCTATAAGAACCAAAATTTGACTTTGAGTCTATCTCATGTGACTTTCAAAACCATTTGAGGAACAGGCTTGAGGCCTCAGACATTAATGAGCAAAGATCGGATAAGCTGTGGGAGGATATCAAGAATATCATCAAGGAAGAATACAAAAGGTCATTACAAAGACAGAGGAAGAAGAAAAGACAAAGATGGATGTCAGAAGAAACTAAATAATTGTACTGGAGCACCAAGAAGCCACAGCAAAGGAAAGAAAACAAGATATTAAGGAGTTGAACAGAAGATTCCAAAGGCCAGCATGGGAAGACAAAGTTACAATGAAATGTGCAAAGAGCTGGAGTGAGAAAATCAAAAGGGCCAACCAAACTCACTCAACATTTCTTAAGCTTAAGGAACTGAAGAACAAATTCAAAGCTCGAGTTGCAATACTTAAGGATGCTTTGGGCAGAATATTAAATGATCCAGGAGGCACTAAAACAGGATAGAAAGAGTGAACTCTGGTGGCCTAGTGGTAAAAAGCTACACTGCAATCCTAGAGGTGTTTGGTTCAAATCCACCCGATGCTCTGCTGGAGAACAAAGGACAATCTCTTCCTGTGCTAGTCAGATCTGATTTGACGGTACACACACACACATACACAAAATAATAAAATAAAAATGAAACATTTTAAAAAAAGAAGATAGAGTACATAGTGTCATTGTACCCAAAATAAATGGTGGACACAGAAGAATTTCATGAAACAATGTATAAGCAAGAGCCTGTGGTGATGAAGGAAGACGTTCAAGCTGCTCTGAGAGAATTGGCAAAAACAAGGCCCCAGGAATTGATGGCATAATGATTGACATATTTGAACAAAGTCGCTTCCCTGGATGTGCTCACCAAGTTGTGCCAAGAAATCTGGATGACAACCACCTGGCCAACTGATTGGAAGGGATTGATATTTGTTCCCATTTCAAAGAAAGGTGAGCTGACAGTGTGTGGAAATTATCAAACAGTGTCACTGATATCACATGTAAGCAAAATCCTGCTGAAAATTATCCAAAAATGACTTGAACAGCACATCAGCAAAGACATACCAGAAGTGCAAGCTGGGTTTAGACAGGGTTATGGTACTAGAAATATTGTAGATAATGTCAGATGGATCTTGACTGAAAGCAGGGAGTAGCAGAGAAATGTCTATCTGTGTTTCATTTAGTATGCAAAAGGCGTTTGACTGTGTGGATCACAACAAACTGTGTCTGGCTCTGAGAAGAATGGGAATTCCAGAATACTTGATTGTGTTTATGTGAAACCTGTACTTGGACCAGGAGGCAGTCATCAGAAGAGTGCAAGAAATTACTGCATGGTTCAAAATTGGGAGGGTGAACATCAAGGATGTGTTCTATCTCCATACCTTTTCAACCTGTATGCAGAACAGATTATATGGGAGGCTGGGCTCTATGAGGAGAAGTGTGGCGTCAGGATTGGAGGTAAACTCATGAACAATCTGCATTATGCAGATGACACAACCATGCTTGCTGAAACTGAGGAGGACCTGAAGCACTTGCTGCAGAGGGTCAAGGACTGCAGCCTCCAATATGGATTGAGGCTCAATGTTAAGAAGACAAAGCTTCTC